TTGTGAGGGGACGCAACGTGTCAACCGCATATCGCATAGCAACCTGACGACTGGTCCACATGTCTTTCACTGTACCCTTGACACGATCGGCTGCACCCTGGGGTTGGGGGGTGTTGCTAGCGGGAACTAAGTGGCGAGCTGCGTGCTGTAGCGCATCATCCAGGTGTTCAGGAGTGGCTTGAGCTGGAAGACATTCTGCCAGGCTGTCACAGACTTTCTGGACCCAAGACGAGGGTTGTTCAGACGCATATCTGGCGGCTTTGACGCGGTGGGGCGTGGCGGCAGGTGCTGCAGTTTGATAATGAATCGCGGGCATTGACACCGAGATCGGATGGTGCCGGGCCCCGCCACGCCAGCACAGCAGATGGAAGGCATGGTCAGGTTTGGCTTGACGAGCCAGCCCATCAACCTGTGCTTCGCGCGCAAAAAAGAAGTCAATGTGACTCCTAGCTTTTTCGTGTTCGTAGGTGAAGGCTCGGGAACTGCGGCTCCATGTGTTGAGGGCCGTGAGTCTGTGGGTGGTCGCAAGGTTGGCGAGGAGTTGTCGACTCGATCTATGTGGGGATGCTGACCTATTCAGGCTGCCGGGCCCAAACACTCGTGTATCGCGGGTGCCGGTGGTGTTAAAGTCCCCCCCCATTAGTAAGACGTTGCGAATGGGCAGTGAGGAGAGAGTTTTCTCCAGGTGGTGCAGGACCCTTTCCCGTTTGTGTAGCACAGCTGCCTGGTCAGGGCCGGTGTGAAAAGCGTATTGGTACACATTAATAAGATCAACATCGCGCCCCTTTACTGGGAGTCGGAGATGCAGGATGTGTCCCTGAAGTGGTGTGGACCATCGGATGGCATCGAAAGGAGCCAGGGACTTCCGCACCAAAATCATGCATCCTTGAAATCGGTGGTCCGAAGTACCACTGTGATAGACGTAGAACCGGGGCAAGCACCAGGAGTTGGAGAATGTCCAATGCGACTCCTGCAAAAAGACGAGGTCAAACTCTTCTTGTTCGTGTAACCAGATTTGTACTTCCAACCAGGCCTCCTGCGAGAGTCCTCCTACGTTCCAAGTCATGGCACGCAACCGCGGTCCTTTGTAGTGATCTGAGGTGTGAGAGCGGCCAGCGGGCCGTGTTGAAGCTTTGGTCGTGGAGCCCTGCAAAGTATTAAGGGTACACACACGACCTCTATAGGTGGTAGTGGCCCTATAGCTCGGCGCAAAGCCCGCTTGCGAATCGCGGCCCTACGCCCCGGGCAATGATTTCCTTCAGCAGGGGTCTCCGAGCGTCCGGACAGGCCTACGTGTTGCATGCCGGGGTCGGCCTGCTGAGCGCCTGCTGGGGGCGCGGATGCCAAAGAGCCAGGGTTACCCTTTGCTACATTGAGGGTCAGGCAGAAGCTCAGGACCATCAGGGCACGAGTTAGGATTCCGATCTTCACAGCAAATGCTCTGATTCTCGAACCTTGGGAGCAGCTGGGATGGCGACGTTTGCAGGGGGAACTGGATCCCAGACCTGGGTGGGAACCGAAGCTCAGCAGATGCATGATCCAAGCAAGAGAGATAGGACCGCACAGGAGGCACAATAAGCCGAACATGTGTTGAAGGCACCTGAGGGCAGACTCGAATGCAGGTATCCGGAGGGGATGACTCCTAGCCACACTGCATGTGACAGCCCGCGGATGCATATATGCTTGCTCGGGCTGCGAGTCGTCCTCAGAATCAGGTGAGACTGTGCGAGCCTGATCCTTGATGGCTTGTGGCAGCGAAACGGCAACGGCTTCCGTGGAAAATGTAAACTGCTGCAGAAGCTCACTGCCATCGCAGTGGGTCGGCTCCCCGATAGGGGGCCGCTTCGCGGCGAGAGAGATCTTGATCGGAAAACACAGGCGCGAAGATCTTGAACGGCAGGGGGTTGGTCGGCGATAGCTAAGACGGCCTGAGGCGGAGCTCCTAACCAGGCATGTAGGATCGCCGTCATCTGAGGCAGTGTGACCTTCCAGGGCAGAGCGTCATAGACTCGCAGGCAAACCAAGCGATGCAGCAGCATGAAGTACTCGCCCAGCTGCTCCAAGAAGTCCCGCCTGGAGGTCTCCCACAACGACAACCTAGCCTCGACCAGATGTCCAAGCGTGCTCTCGTTGCGGATGTTCTGGAGTAGGCCACTGGATGGCAGGCCGAGAAGGCTGAATTGCAGGCTGAGGACCTACATGCCGACAGGCGGTAGCGGCAGCGGCACCCCTAAGGGGCCGTGGATTCCTTCACGCACAACTTAATCTCGCAGATTGTGGAAGTCGGTGCGCCTGGCCACATAGCCGCGTTGTGTCCCCAGCCTCCGGCTCCCTGTCAGGGCCGGGAAGTTCGGCATTGCCAGCTGCAGCCTTGCCTTCGCACGAGCCGCCTGGCGCTTCGGCCTGGCGATTACCTCCCCCTTTGTCCGTCGACGTGTCCCGTCGGGTCTTGTACGGGCACGTGGTCCAGTTCTTTGCGGCATGGTCGCGCCGGGGAGAGGTAACTTACCTAACAGAGCTAAAGTCGAGGGGAGTTTATGCCAAGTGGGACACGTTGGGGTGAGTCGACGCGTCGGTATAGACAGACCTTCGGTGCACTTAGCCTGGGAGAAAGACGGTTGGCAGGGCCTACTCAGAGTTCGACTGTGGGCTGTCCGCTTCCACTGAATTCGGTACCGGCTTTGGTGTTGTCGATTGCAGGGTTTCCATCTCGGTGGAGTCGTAGCACACTGGCCCAGGTGGCGGCGGTCCATTTGGGGGGCCGGTGGCTGGCTCTGGCGGCGTAGGCTCCGATGAAGTTCCACGTGCAGCCTGTTCCTTCCGATCGATAACTGCTGAGTCCGACGAGTCGGTGAACCAAGATGGATTCGTTGAGCGCGGCTGGTGGTCTTAGGGGCCAATTCGGCTGGCTTGCGAAATCGGC